CAAATATACTGTACTTCGGAGAGGGAACACGGCTCACAGTTCTGGGTAAGAGATACCAGCAATAGTGTCTGGGACAGAGCTAGCAGGTCATAGGCTGGTAAATACAGCAAGAAAAAGGTTTGGGGAGAGACACTGAGAGAGACAGAGGGAGAGGAAGGGAGTTGATGACTGGGGAAGAGAACAAACTAATCAGCCCCATTACTGATATTAAACCTGTCCTGGGCATAGACAACTGCAGTATTAACTTTGCCAACATTTTCTTGCCATGCTAATAAAATTATTGACAAGAAAGAAAGAAAGAAAGAAAGAAAGAAAGAAAGAAAGAAAGAAAGACTGTATATGGTTCTAATCTCATGTGGTTAATGGCTGGAGCATCTCCTTCAAGTCCGGAATGGGAGGAGATCTCAAATCTAATCAGAGAAAGAAGGGAGAGCACATGGGCCCCCAGAGTGATACTCAATATCTAGATTGCAATATATATCTGATGGAAACGCCTGGAAGCCCTGCTCAGTGCCCACTTAGGGTGCTAGCTGGACTCTCTTAGAAATGAAGCCCATGCAGTGCCAGCAGCCCACAATTATACTACACCTATTCAGAGGTGGTGCCTCTGCCCCCTCCCCCATCCCGATCCAGTATAAGTCCTGGGATGACTCTGTCTTCCTATTGCAATGTCTAAGGTAGCATCTGTCCCTGAAAAGGTGGTGAGGGGAAGAAGATTGAGGTCAGGGTACAGAGATTCATTAGCAATAGGACTATCCTGCAGCAGCTGGGAGAATCATAGAATCATAGAACAAACAGAGAGATTGGATGGGGATGTAAAGGAGGGGGAAGGTGGGAGAAGGAACTTGGAGGATAAACGTTGACCCTGGGAGTGTGTGGTGACGCTGAGGCTGAGGTGCAGAAGCAGGGGATGAGGTGCTTTACTGTGGAAAGGGAAATGAGGGGACTTTTGAAATATGAGGTCTGATCCAAATCATCATTGGGGAGCACATACAGGATATTAGTCTTCTAAATGCTGCTGAGACAGCACAGCTAGATGGCTAGATGCACATACTTTCTCCTGAGCATGCCTTTGGCTATGATTCTGGAAGAGTCCAGCATTTTAAGGGTTAACAATGGCATCTCATGGGGAGCACTTCAGGACTGGGTAGTGAGTAGTTTTGATGTTGCAATGTGAAGCTGTGGTCCACAGACATCCAGTATTTTGGAGCCGGAACTCGACTGACAGTTCTGGGTGAGTGAACATGATGACAAAATAACATAACATATACCCCACGCTGGGAGAGGACTGGGTTTGGGAGTGTGAAAGGGGCAGGATTCTTGAAGCATGAATTGGTAAAACTGAATGAAGAAGGAAGCCTTTGGGGTGGATAGCAGCATGTAGAATATTCTCCGCAAGTGTCATTGCTTGAGTTATTTAAAACTAGGGCAGGACAAAGCCCAGGAGAGTAGACTATAGAGAACAATTCTGCACTGGCTAGGAGAAAATAGACTAAATACAATCTAACGGCACTTTATGGAGATGGCAGTATCCCCTATCCCCACCAAAGCAACCCTGTTCTGCCCAGTCCCTAAGGAGTGTAGAGTGGTTTTGGTGGGGTTTGGATGGAGAGGAGGATTGGGAGGGATGGTTTTGGTGCAGCTCCAAGAGGCTGTGAACTGGAGCAAACACACAGTATTTTGGAGCAGGGACACAGCTGACAGTTCTGGGTGAGTAGAAAGAGAGAAACAAACAAAGAAAGAAAGAAAATAGCAGGCAAAGAGACTAGAATAAAAAACAGTTTTTAGAACCATTTCTGGTGGCAGCCAAATTGATGAACTTGTCTCTAATGGGGTTAATCTAGAGAAAAGAGGGACAGAGAAACAGACAGACAGAGATTAAAACAGGAGAGTGAGGGATGAAGCAGAGAAACATCAAATAATGAAAAGCAGGTAAGTAGAAACGAGTCTCTGTTCCAGGGCATTTGTAGCATGGGGGGGAAATGCTGTGCTCTGGTTCTGGCTCAGTGCAATATTTTGGAGACGGAACCCGACTCACAGTTCTAGGTAAGAAAAATAAATAGTTTTATCATCTCATGATCTTTCTCTAGCAGCCCAGTGGGATCTGTACATTTCCTAAGAAACCCATAGCCAATAAAAGGCATTTTCATTTTGGGAAGATCTGAAAAAGGAAGGCGTAAAACACTTGGGTGAAATCGCGGCTCCCTTGGCGTCAATGGCAAACTCCCACTGACTTTAATAAGGCCAGCATTTCACCCCCAGAGTTTTTTTTCTTGCTGGTTTGTGATTGCACCAATCTATATCAGAAAAGATAATTCTGTGCCTAACATTATGTGATCTGCCTGGGACATGTCTGGAGAGCATATTTAAGGAGAGTGTGCTGGATTTGTAATAAAAAGGTGACGAAAAAAAGGAATAAAAAAGGAAACAGACAAAGAAGACACACAAGAGCGAAAGGCAGGGAAGGATGAAATACTAAGGAGGAAGATGATTGGTTTTAAGTGTAGTCCATGAGGCAATAACTAGGAATAAAGGGGCTGGAACTGAATTAAAGAGAAATCCTTCACATAGGGTATCGGGAATCATTTCTAGTGTGTGTGGGGAGAGATCTTGAAATAGTCTCCAAAGGGAAATGGTCGAAGCCCCTTGAGAGTGTACTGTAAGGCAGTGGTTCGCAACAAGGGGTACACATACCCCTGGGGGTACGCAGAGGTCTTCCAGGGGGTATGTCAACTCACCTAGATATTTGCCTAGTTTTACAACAGGCTACATGAAAAGCTCTAGCAAAGTCAGTACAAGCTAAAATTTCATACAGACAATGACTTGTTCATACTGTTTCTCAAACTGGAGCTCATGATTTAGTTTATAATTATATGGTAAAAATGAGAAAGTGAGCAATTTTTCAGTACTAGTGTGCTGTGACACTTTTGTATTTTTATGTCTGATTTTGTAAACAAGTAGTTTTTAAGTGAGGTGAAACTTGGAGGTATGCAAGACAAACAACCTCCTGAAAGGGGTATAATAGTCTGGAAAGGTTGAGAGTCACTGCTGTAAGGAATAGCCTTGCTCTGCTTGAGAAGAGGGGGTACAGTAGGCGTAATGAAACAAGTCTTTTCCCCATGTCTAAGGGCTGAGATTCTGCTCACTCAGACACACTTATTTGCAGACACAACTTAACAGACTTTCACCATGAGGAAATGTTGTTGAGTGGTCAGCCTTATTTTTTCTGTTCACAATTCTTATCCATGTACTCCTGGTTCTGCAATAGATTAGAACAGCCCATACAATCCCTCTGTAATGCTGGTAGAAGAGACACGGGGAGGTTGGATGAATAGAAGCACTAGTTAAAAATAGGAATTCTTTTATCAGAAAATTTTTGAAGAAAACGATAACACATTATTTCAGTCAACATTTCTACAGAATGTTTCCAATTTTTTGATAAAACAATTAGAAACAAAAAAAATTCAACCATCTGTAATTAATAGCTTGGTTTTTAGACTATATTCATACAGGTCCACAGATAACGTGTTAATTTAATCATATATACTAGGAATGTGGTAAGAAAACTCTTCATAATAATATTTAGTATTTTGCATCCATAGATTTCAAAGCACTTCACTAGGCTGGGTGGACATTACAAGTTTTACAGCTTGGGAAATTGAGGCACAGATCAGTTAAGTGACTTGCCCAAGGTCACATAACAAGTGTGGCCTAGTTGGGAACAGAACCCAAACCTCTTTATTCATGGCCCAATTTTCAAAAGAGCTCTCCACCCAACATGCTGAGCCTTTGAAAATCTGTCCTCCTAGTTTGCTGCATATATGTGAGTTGAGCTCTTTTGAAAATCTGGCCCACAGAGTCTGGTGCTCTGTTCATTGAAACCCACTGCCCCCTCTGTCCAATAAGGCACTGTCTATACATCATTCCCTTGAAGAAATAATATCTGTGGAGGAAGAATGGGGATCTCTTTCAGAAGATGGCAGGACAAAGATGGAAAACCTAGCATCCAGGAAGGAAAATCTAGTATTAAACAATAGGAAAAAATTATTATGAGCCAGAGGAAGTGGGCCATGGAATTGACTCCCCTTGTGGAATGGGTGTAGTATCCCCTCTGCCACTGCAAAGTCAAGAGCAGAATAAAGAAAACTGTAGTGGAAGCGATGGAGCTGATGAGTCCTGTGAAAGTGGGAAGTACATCAATAGCAGAGGTCCTCCCTATGTGCCTTTCATGGTCATATAGGTTTGTATTCACATGTGTTCATTTTGTCTCTATAGAGAGACACCACAGGCCTACCCCTGCAGTCCCTATTCAGGCTAAACTTCCATTGACTTCAATGAGAGTTCAGCCTGTGTGAGGAGTGTGTAGAGTCAAGCCCTTGAACTGTAAGTTGCTACTTTGCTCAGTTTTACTACTGCCCTGTGTCTCTGTGCTCTGGATATGAACAGTATTTTGGCACAGGAACCAAACTGACTGTCCTGGGTAAGGAAGGGTTTGTTTGTTTGTTTGTTTGTTTGTTTGTTTGTTTGTTTGTTTGTTTGTTTGTTTGTTTGTTTGTTTGCTAAATAACAAAACATTCACAGTCTTGGGCTTCTGTCTCAAGCTTCTCTTTGGATATTTGTGGGCTGGATTTTTTCTTTCTTTTGTCCTTTTTAAAATTGCGGGAGAGAAAGCAAGGAGAGCTTGCTGAGAGATTGGAAAGTTTGGGTTAGCAAAAGGAGGGTGCAGTCTTCAGCATCTTTTTCTGAGGTGAAACAGAGCACCCCAATGCAGTAAGGAATTACAGAGCAACAGGGCTCAATCAATGACGAGATATAGAGACTTTACATTTGCTCTGTAGCTGTTTTTTTTAAATATTGGGGCCAGATTCTGCAGCCAACACTTCTTATTGTCTTCAGTGGAAGTGGTACATATACAGTGGTTACTGATTGAGACTCGAGTACAGTATAATAAAAAAATATAATTTTCTCTTTTGATTTAAAATGATGGGCCTTCTGTGTAGAGTTCTAAAGAGGGCATTGAATCTGCCTCTAGAAGCATCTCCCTCCTCACACAACACATTCAGAGTCAGATACATGGATCCAGGAGGGGTTGTTGGCACAAGGCAGGACAAGGTTTGTGCAGGGCTCTCTGTGTCATCTTGATTTCTGTTCCAGAGGATGTGTCCAACATCAATGCCCCCAAAGTGGCCATCTTTCCCCCATCGAAGCAGGAGATCAAAGAGAAGAGGAAGGCCACCCTGGTGTGCCTGGTCACAGGTTTCTACCCTGACCACATCAAGCTGGTTTGGTGGGTGAACGGTGTTGAGAGGAAAGAGGGGGTGAGGACGGATGAATCTCTTATGGACAAAACCAAAAAAAAATACTCGTTGACCAGCCGCCTGAGGATCTCACGCCAGGAATGGTCCAACCCCAAGAACGTATTCCAGTGCCGTGTTGAATTCTACGGGATTGAGAAACAAACATATGATGAAGTCATCAGTGGTGTAGCTGGTGAGTACTGAGCACAAAAGCCCTAGTGTGCTGGGATCTGGCCTCTTCAGCATTCCCACCTGTAGGGTTAGGAGTTGGAATGGAAGGCAGGGCTCCTGCCCAGCACACTATGTCATCACCACTTAAATCACTGCTGTCCCAAGAGAGAGTCCAAGAGTGGGAATTGTCACCGCAGAGTTCTGCAAAGCAGAGCAATTTGCTAAACCCTGGGGCACCAGGACCACTGTATGCCACACTCCAGCCTCTGCCAGCCCTTGGGATCTGAGACCGGGACTGGAATCCAAATCAGCTCTCCTACCAGCTAGTGAATAGACACATAATTCTCCCTTCCACCCTTCCCCCACCCAATTAATTGTGGGAAACTGGGAGTTCCTTGTAAAAGGCACATATAGCTGGGCTCAGATACTAACTTCTGCTTGTTTCTCCTTTCAGATTGCAGTGTCTCAGAAGGTCAGTTAAAGCCCCTTCTCCCTCTGTATGGTATGCATGTGCACATGAATGTTCAGGTGTGCATGCACGTATGTATACATTGATTTACTGCTGTGGATGTTTGTGCATGTGGGCATATGTATTCATGCTGTCATACACAGGTGTGCATGTGCTTATGTGCATATTTGTATGTGTGGGTGCATATGTGTGTACATGTTTCTTGGTTCACAGAGATGTGGGTGTGCACGTGTGAGTATGTGCATAGGAACATACACTGGGACTCACACCCCTCCACTCACAAAAAGTTCTGTGGGACCTGTACTAACCACCAGTGGCCAGGACCTCAGCTTTAGATCTCATCCTAAAGATATAACCTTCAGCAGCACAGAGCCCCTAAGACCACACTGGATCAGTAGGTTCAGTACTGACTCAGAAGGGACAGCACCCCCTATTGAGTCACCTACCCCACTCTCTGCAGCACAGCACCCCCTAGCACCACACTGATGTATTGGGATCAATGTTAGCTTTGGGGGAAGGCTGCCATCTTCTGAGTCACCACCACTTCTTCAAACTTAGGTTTTCCTTAGCAGTCTTCAAACCAATTGCTGGCCAGGGCTGACAATCTTTAGCTTTGGATCCAGCCCTCCTTGATGGTACAGCCATAGGCAGCCAAATGGGCAGTCGGTGCAATGCTTATCTGTAAAATCCACTATTTTCTGCTAATCTATAGGATTAAAAGAACCCCCCTGGGCTAGGTAAATTCTCCAAAGAAATCTTTCACTTCTCTGTTGGTTTTGATGTATTATTTCCCCCCTTGCTTTTCAGAGTCGTATCTGAGAAGTGCCATGGCAGGCAAGAGTGTGTACGTTCTGCTCATTTTCAAGAGTGCCTTGTATGGGGTCTTTGTGATGGGGCTAATGCTAAGGAACAAGGTGAGAGGAGGTTTCTTATTCTATGCACTCTGGACCAGGTCCATTCTAACTAGAATAGAGGTGGTGGGTGGGGAGGGGAATAGTTTGGACAAAATGAGAACAGCCATGAACCTCTGCGCCTCCCCCCACCCCCCAATGAAATCTGCACGACTTTTAAGATGCAAAACAGTTTAGTGAAGTGTTTCTGCGCCCCCCTTCCCCCATGTCTCTGCATCTCCTGGTTTGTAAGAGAGTGAGCTAGAGTGATGGAGAGAGTGCAAGTGTTGAGAGAGAGAAAGGGGGAGAGAGAATGCAAGAGAGAGACAGGAGAAGGAAGAGGAAGAGTGAAATGTGACATAGACAAAAGATGGGGAATGAGAGAAAATTGAGAGAAGAGGAAGAGAGAGTGAAACAACCGAGAAAAAATGAGAGAACAGAGAGAGAATCAGAAAACATGTGAGGGAAAGAGAAAGAAAATGAGAGAGAGAATAAAAAACTAAAGAGAGAGTGAGTTAAGAAAGCTTGTTTATCTAGTGGTGTGCTTGCAGTCATCCATTCTTTCTCATTTTTAACAGTGCTTATCGGAAATATCTTGAGGCCATCTGAGCTGACTCTTTCTTTTCCAATCACACATGAGGCCTTCAGCATAGTCAAGCAGAAACCACAGTTTCTGTTGTGCAGAAACTTTCATAGCCTTAGTGACTGAATGGGAAAATCCAGTGTAAGGTTTCACCCATCGGATATGCCCCTGACCATTACTTAACAGGAAGCACCAACAATAAAATAGCAGTGAATCCCCTCCAGCTATAGCACTGGCTGGTGGCAGTGGGAATCTGAGAAATTACAGATAAAAAGACACATTTGGTCACAATTTGTCCATTTTCTTCCCCCACACCAGTCAATAGAGGGTTGTTTCCTGAGGTCTAGTCCCCAGGGTCAATTTGTGTCTATCCTTGAGGTGTACACCATTCAAACACAGTGACCCTGATTTTTCTGTTACTAAGGGTTTGTCTACACTTAAAACGCTACAGCACTTCAGTGAAGACACTACCTATGCTGGTGAGAGTGGTTCTCCTGTCGGAGGATGTAATCCACCTCCCCGAGAGGTGGTAGCTACGTCAATGGGAAAATTCTCCTGTTGATCTAGTGCTATCTGTACCAGGGGTTAGGTCAGTTTAACTCTGTCACTCAGGGGTGTGGATTTTTCACATCCCTGAGCAACATAGTTATACTGACCTAATTTTCTAGTGTAGACCAGCCCTTACACCAGTATTATGTTGGTGTGATCCCATTAATGTAAATGGAGTTATTCCTGATTTACACCAGCATCAGTGAAAGGAGAACCAGCTGATCTATCTATCTACTAAAATATTAATCTAATTTAATCAACCTTCTGTCAATTAGGTACCCAGTACATATTTAGTTCCTTTAATGTCTCCTCATAAATTAATCTATCTAGATCCTTAATCTATGAACCAGAATGGAGATGGGGATGGCTGTGCATGAACAAGCTGCACTATGGAAAACTTGACTGTTTGCTCCTCCCCCTGGTGTTTCAATCACAGGATGATCATTGCTTGGTTCTCAGTGGTTAGTGGTGGCCCATGACTAATCTCCAGTTCTATTCCCTTCCCTCCCACAGCAAGTGCAGTAGAAGAAGCTGACCCAAGGTGGATGACACAACTTCCTGGAGAAAGAAGGAGCTGCAGCTGCATTCGTTTTACAAGTCCTGATTTTTTTCAGAAACCAGCACAGCACTTAGGCTTTTGTTACAATAAATGTACAAAGACAGCAATTTGGGGTTGTCTGGCTGTATTTGCTTGTTTGAAACAGCAGCTTTTAATAAACATTTATGGAATCCTTAATGAGGTTTTCTGCATTTTTTTTTGTCAGCTGCTAAAATATGAAACAAAAATGCCTGTAACATTCACAGAACTTAGAGAACATAGTGTATTAGACTGGCTTTGTTTGTGAATACATGAGCAAATGATGTCAGGCCACAGAAAGGATAAGGGACCTAACGCTACTGCCAGCTAAGTGGGGGAGTGGGGTTGGGTTGTCGCTCTTAGTGTAAATGGAAGAGGCCTGTGTTTCTTGAGCTGAAGGGCTAGAATTGTAGTCCAATCTCCCAAGGGGTCTCTATGTGTGAATTATGTAGCAATTGTATTGGCTGCAGTATATGAGTCCATTACAATAGGGAGTCTCCATGCAATGTCATCCCACTGTGCACCTACTCTTGTATCGCTTTGCCAAGAGGAACCCACCTCCTGCTTTACTGAAAGAAACTCATTGTTCCCACTAGTCAGGTTTTCTCCTTCCTGTTACAGTGGACCAAAGCATTGGACCATCTAGTCCAGTGTCATCCCATCTACTAGTTTACCAGGAGAGAACCATGCATCCATCTACACTAGTATCTTACTTCTTGCTGTGTTGAAAAAAACACTGTTCCATCTCATCCAGTCCCGTTTTTGATAATGGAGAATAAGAAAGCTTAACTCTCTCTCCCCTATTTTGTCCATCTATCTAAATATCTATCTTAAGTATCTTTACAGAAACCCACAGGAGTGCATGGCACTCTACAGGTAAAAAGACAAGGGTCCTGACACTAGGCGCTTACATTCTCAGGCTTGATCTATACTTAAAAAATTATATTGGCATAGCTACGTCAGTCAGGGGTGTGAAAAAAACACAGCCCCAACCGACATATCTACGCAGAGAAAATACCCAGTGTAGTTGCAGCTATGCCTATAGAAGATTGTTTCTTTTGACATAACTAACATCATTGAGGGAGGTGGTGTGCCTACATGGACACAAAAACTTCTGTTGGTATGGGCTATGTCTACACAAGGAGGCCATGCTGAGATAGCTATGCCAGCATAGCCTCTGTAGAGTAGACATAGGTGAAATCTGGAAGATAACACAAGAAATAATGACACCAGGCTATGGTGAGTTTTGTAGTGAAGAGGCAGCCATGCTGGCTCACTTCTTTTACCATGTAGCATTTTGAGTTGCACCACATGTAAAGTAGCATTGCTACCACTAGAAGGGCTCTCATAATAGTAATGGAACATTTCATTTCAAGCCATTTATTATTATCGTGGTGTGGAAGTAAGGAAGGGAAAGGGACAATAGTGAAAAATGGGAGCCATATACTGCTTAGCAGTCAGTGCTGTTTTAAGCTTGAAAAATAGATAACACAAGTTTTTATGTTTCATACATTTCTTGTTTTTTAATGGGCATTAGTAGTGGAAACCATCTAAAAATGGTACAATATTATACAACAAGAGGAGTTTCTTCCTCACCACAGACAGTGAAGCAGGAGAACTGATAACCCCAGATAGTGTCCCTACAAATATCCTTATTCATAAGATTGTCTAACCATTTTTTTTACTCTTACTAAATTAATATCCTTTGGCAGTGGGTTCCTCAGGTTAAATATTGAGTGATTCAGAGGCAGCTCATTTAATCCCAAGGCACGGTGAGGGGAAGCAAGGACATCTGTTATGTAGAGATATGTCCAAGCCAAAGCCCAGTATCCAAACACCCCCAGATTCTATAAGTTCAAATCCAGATCTGAATTTTGTGACTCATGCCCATCTCTAGTTTTATGTTTTCATAGATTCATAAATTCCAAGGCTAGAAGAGACCATTGTGATCATCTAGTCTGAAATTCTGTATAACCCAGGCCATAGATCTTCCCCAAAATAATTCCTAGAGCAGATTTTTTAGAAAAACATTTAATTTTGATTTAAAAATTATCAGTGATGGAGAATCCACCACAATCTTTAGTAAATTGTTCCAATGGTTAATTACTCTCACTGTTAAAGATTTATGCCTTATTTCCAGTCTGAATTTGTCTAGAACCAACTTCCAGCCATCAGATCATGTTATACCTTTCTCTGCTATATTGAAGATCCCATTATTAAATATTTTTCCCCATGTAGATACTTATAGACTGTAATCAAATTACCCCTTACACTTCTCTTTGTGAAGCTAAATAGATTGAGCCTTTTGCATCTATAAGGCAGGTTTTCTAATCCTTTAATCATTCTGGTGGCACTTCTCTGAACCCTTTCCAATTTATCAACATACTTCTTGAATTGTGGATACCAGAAATGCACACAGTATTCCAGCAGCAGTTGCAAAAATACCAAATACAGAGATGAAAATAATTTCTCTGCTCCTACTCGAGATTCTCCTGTTTATACAACACAGATTGCATTAGCTTTTTTGGCCACAGAGTCACACTGGGAGCTTATGTTCTGCTGATTATCCCCAATGATCCCCAAATCTTTTTCAGAGTCACTGCTTCCCAGGATAGTCTCCCATTATTTAAGTAATTTATTCCCAGATGTATACATTTACGTTTAGTCATATTAAAACACATATTATTTGCTTGTGCCCAGTTTAGCAAGCAATCCACATTGTTCTCAACCTGTTGTCTTTGTTATTTTTGTATCGTCTGCAATTTTTGTATCATCTGCAAACTTTATCAGTAATGATGTTATGTTTTCTTCCAGGTCATTGATAAAATGTTAAATAGTATAGGGCCAAGAACTGATCCCGTGTGACCCCACTTGAAACACATCCACTCAATGACTATTCCCAGTTTACAATTACATTTTGAGACCTATGCAATGTAGTTGTAGCTATGTTGGTCCCAGAATATTAGGTAGTCAGGAGACAAGATGGGTGAGGTAATATCTTTTATTGGACTAACTTCTGTTGGGGAGAGAGACAAGATTTAGGCCACTCTACCTTGAATGGTTCCTTACAATATGTGTTAACTAGTTATGCTAAACAATCTGTTCCGCTCTGCATTTTGCTGTGATGCTGGGAGTTCCTTTCCCAGACTTGAAAAAGAGCTTTGTGTAGCTTGAAAGCTTGTCTCCCTCACCAACACAGTTTGTTCTAATAAAAAATATTACCTCTTCACCTTGTCTCTTTCATTTCTAGACCTATCAGTTAGCCAGTTTTTAATACATCGTTCTAGTCTTTTAATCAAAATGTTAGGCAGTGCCAAGTCAAACACATTACAGAAATCTAAATATATTGTCACCCTATTACCTTTATCAAAAAATTGTCATCTCATCAAAAAAAGATATCAAGTTAGTTTGACAGGATCTGTTTCCCATAAACCCCCAGTGATTTGCATTAACTACATTACTCACATTTAATTCTTTATTAATCAAGTTCTGTATCAGCCTGTCCATTATCTTGCCCAGGATCGATGTCAGACTCACTGGTCTGTAATTACCCAGGTCATCCTGTTTACCCTTTTTAAAAATTGGCACAACATTCGTTTCCTTCCAGTCTTCTGGAACCTCCTGAGAGCTACAAGACCTATTGAAAATCAATATTAATGGTCCACTAAGAGCTCTTCAGTCAGATCTTTTCAAATTCTCTCATGCAAGTTATCTGGACCTGCTATTTAAAAATATCTAACTTTAGTACATTCTGTTTAACATCGGCCAGAGATACTAGTGGAATGGAAAGAGTGTTATCATCACTATATGATTAGACTGCAGCGTCTGTTTCTTCCCCAAATACAGAAAAGAAATATTCATTGAACACTTCTGTTGCATTATTATTGATAATTCTACCTTTGCCATCTAGTAATGGAACAATATCATTGCCATGTTTGTGGTAATGAGCAGGGATTCAGACGGCAATACTCTCCCTTGGAAGGATAAATTCTTACTTAAAGAGACATAACTTCCATATCTCTTTAAAGAGTTCAATCATTATTGTGGAAGGGCTTCGATGCAATACAGATCTAAGGACAGCAGCAAAAAGGCTAAGGGAAAATGATAACTAGGGTCCAAAAACGTACAAAGCTGCCTAGACAGGCTTGGTTAAAATCACCATAGTCCCCATTTGTGCACTTCAGTATTATCAGTAATCTCTCCTAGAAAAGGAAGGTGAATAGCAGGGTCTTGAATAGCAGGGGAGCAACAGGGCAGGACTGAGGGGCATTGGCAGAGCTGTGTGGGGAGCCCAGCACTGGAATAGCAGGAGGCTGCAGGGCAGGACTCAGGGGCATTGGCAGAGCTGTGAGGGGAGCCCAGGGCTGCAATAGTAGCGGGTGCTGCAGTTCAAGGGTGAGATGGAGCTGGAGAGCTCAGCATGGGATGGCAGAGAACATTTCAAACGGCCTCGTACGCAGATTAAAAGAGGCAAGGGAATGGCTTAAATTATGAGCCTAACCAACCTTGATATTGTTCATTTACGAGAATAGCAGTTGAGTTTTATACATAACAGGATGCGGTTTAACATTTGCTTGTGAAACCGTTTCTGTAACTCATCATCACTTCTTTCCACAGCACCCCCGCACTCCACTCTGAGGCACTTTTTAGACTGAAATAGCAGTGCCTATCTGTCCCACCTAGGCTGGTGGTTTGGCCGCCTTGTGTTATCACAGAATCTTGCTGCACAGAAGGCTGCAGCGGGTGTTTGCAGAAGCAGCCGTTGCTCCTGATGTGTCACATGAAAACTAGAGGTTTGTGGGTCTTTGTAGGTCACTGACCTGTTTTCAAAAATGAGAAAAACATGATTTTTCTGGGTCTCTCTTGAATGACAAACATGAGGCATTGAAAGAGAACTGCTGATTGCATAGTGCCTCAGCACCCCCTTTTTCCTCACAGTCACTGCAGGATTGTTCCCTACTCTGTTCTCCAGAGCTGCCTCTGGTCTAGTTTTAAATATCTAAGTAACAGGGCTTCCACTTTTCCCTTGGGAAACTAGAGTGCAGGATAATACATTTTCTCACTGTGAGGGAATGTTTCCTAGTTA